AAAAATTAACCAATTTATTTACCAGAATCTTCATTGATTTGCTCCAAGTATACAAGTATATTGGAAAATTTTCAGCTTTCTAATGAATGAAGTATACGGTAGAACAGCTAGCCTTGAAGATGCCAAAATTTCTCAAAATGACCAATTAATGTAGCCACTCTGAAGTGACAGAAATAAAAATTGTTACAAAATGTATATAGACATCATTTTAGTAGTATACATAGGCATATTTTTAGCTAGTAGATCTGTAGGAATCCCTCATAATTAGCTAGCAGATTTGTAGGAATACCTCTTTATTTTCTTTCCTAAATTAGCACAGAGTATATTGTATTTATATCTTGCTTATCTATTGGAATAAGATATGTACTTCTATTCGATTACATGATATTAGAGCCTATAGGCTCCTTGATCATGTTCTCTCTCTGTTTCGAAAGGCAGCTTGATCTCGTTTTGCTATCTTACAGAAACAAGCTCAGATTTCAAATCGATCACTTTCAAAGTGGGCAATTTGTGTCACTGCCACAGTAGGAGGCAGATCATACTTTCTGGTGTACCCCCAGTTTTGTTTGGGGTTGAAACACTGTTTGGAGAACACTTTCACCTTCCAGGTTCATATTTTTTTGAAAGTTACTTCCAGGTTCATATTTCCCTGTAGCTTCTGCGATTCAGATCTGGTATTCTGTTTGGTGCTGCTGCGATTGTTGAATACTGTTAAACATTGAATGAATAGTGTTTTCTGGATGCTTGTTCTTGATTTTTGGTTCCTTTGTTCTCTCTCATCTTCTTTGTTCTTTAAGTTTGAGCCTCAACTATAATTATTTTATTGGTATTGGATTGTATTTATTGTTTGTGTTTGCTAGATTCTCCTGTATTGCTACTTTGGATATTTAAGTTAGAAAATATAACTCAAACAATTAGAAAGGAGGAAATATGGCTACAAATCACAAGGATAAGACAATTTAGGGACAATTTTGGTTTTGGCAGATCAGTTTGCAGAGTTCTCTCGGTATCAAGAATCCCTTAAAGAATTCACTGCAGTTACTATCCTTGTTGATTCAAGAAAAGCATGTGTCTCATCTTCGAACAACTGGGTGATTGATTCAGGTGCTACAGATCACATGACAGGTAATCATAACATATTTTCTACCTTTCAATCACACAAAGCTCCCTCTCCTGTAACAGTAGCTGATGGGTCAACATGTAACATTGTGGGATCTGGAACCGTCAAAGCAACCTCCTCTATTACCTTGTCCTCTGTATTAAATCTACCAAAGTTGACCTTCAATTTGATTTTTGTGAGTTAACTTACTAGAGATCTTAATTGTTATGTTTCGTTCTTTCCTAATCATTGCTTGTTTCGTGATCTTGCAACGCATAAGGTTATTGGTAAAGGACATGTAATTGATGGTCTATATATCCTTGATGAATATGAGTCTCGATTTGTTGCATGCTCAAGTGTCTTGTCTCCATTTGAAGCACATTGTCGATTGGGACACCCTTCTTTACCTTTATTAAAAGAAGTTATGTCCCCAGTTTCAAAATGTTCCTTCTTTGGAGTGTGAATCATGCCGATTTGCAAAACATCATATCGCATCACATTTAATAAACGAGTTGAATCAACTTTTGAGTTAATTCATTCTGATGTTTGGGGACCATGTCCGGTTGTTTCCAAAACTGGACATAAATATTGTCACTGTTGTGGATTATTTCTCTTGGATTTATTTTATGAAAACTCGCTCTGAAGTGTTTACTCACTTTTGTGCCTTTTATGCTGAAGTCAAAACTCAATTCAATGCTTCTGTGCATATTTTAAGGAGTGATAATGCAAAAGAATACATGTCAGAGTTGTTTCAATCCTACATGAGACAACACGGTATCCTCCATCAGTCATCTTGTAACATACACCTTCTCAAAATGGAGTTGCTGAGAGGAAGATTAGACATCTACTTGAGACAGCCCGAGCACTTTTGTTCCAAATGAAAGTTCCTAAACAATTTTGGGCCGATGCAGTCTCTACGGCTTGTTTTCTGATTAATCGCATGACATCGACAGTGCTTGTTGGTAATATGCCTTACAGTGTTCTTTTTCCAAACAAGTCTTTATTTCCGATGGAACCAAAGGTATTTTGAAGTACATGTTATGTTCAAGATGTACGTCCATCTGTTACTAAGTTGGACCCTAAGGCATTGAAGTGTGTTTTCTTGGGTTATTCTCGTCTTCAAAAGGGGTATTGATGTTATTCTATTGAACTTGGCAAATATCTGGTGTCGAATGATGTGGTATTTTCAGAGATTACACCATTTTTCTATTCTCTTCCTAAAATTACAAGTCAAGGGGAAGAAGATGAGTGGTTAGTTTATCATGTTACTTGTGTTATGGAATTAAGTGATGCTATTCTTCCATCTCCTAGTGACTCTATTGAGCACCACTCGACTACTGTGCCACCAACACATGTTCCAACAAGACCGCCAATTGTTCAAGTTTATTCGAGGAGACGAGAGACTGATGATACATGTCCTGCACCAAGTCCTCCATCTGATCCTCCAGAACAACTTGACCTCCCTATTGCTCTTCGTAAAGGTACAAGGACTTGCAAATCCACATATTCTATTGCTAACTTTGTTTCCTATGATCGCTTATCTCCTACATCTAGATCCTTGATTGCTTCTCTAGACTTTGTTTTTGTACCCAAAACAGTGAAGGAGGCTTTGCATCATCCTGGATGGTCAAATGTGATGCTTGAGGAAATACATGCATTAGAGGAAAATCACACATGGGATTTGGTGGATTTACCCATTGGGAAGAAACCAGTAGGATGTAAGTGGGTGTTTTAAAGTTATGCCAGATGGTTCCGTGGCAAGACTTAATGCCAGGCTTGTAGCTAAAGGATATGCTCAGACTTATGGGTGGACTAGAGTTTGGACTGAAAATGAGCAAATGTGATCACTCTGTCTTCTACCGACAATCTAAAGTTGGCACTATCCTTCTTGTTGTATATGTTGATGACATTATGAGAAAATGATCAAAATGGTCCTTAATGTATAAGGGTTGTTTTATGTTGATCCTTAATATATTCCACATGACTTATATGGTCCTTAATGTATTATAAAAGAGGATCAATTTGATCCTTTGACCTAAAACTAACAGATACATCAAAAAAATCAGGTTAACTTTAACGTCGGGTCCCACATGCAAAATTTAAAACGCTCAAAAGTTTTCTCTTTCCCCTTCATTCTCCATTTTCGGATCTGTTTTAGAAGAGCTTGTGGATATTATTTTTTTGCTCCTCAACCATTAAAGCAAACTTCTCTCTTCTCATTTAGCACAAATTTCACTGCAAAATGTCAAGAAAGATGAAGTTTTTCTCATTTTAGTTCATCTCTGAATCCCCAATTGCTACTCCAATTCAAAGATGCTAAGTGATTTTAATAGAAAGAAATTCTGGAAGTCTTTCATTGTTGTTGTGTAAAAAATTGATTGTTTTTTAAGATACATACAGAAGATCTAATCAAAGCCCTGTTAGAAAGGGATGAAATTGATTCACGATCAATGTTTTTGATTTCGAAATTAGTAAAGAAACGGAGTGAAGCTGAAAGTATTTGAAAATGGACAGTAGCATCATGCGATAACATTAGTTGAAAAGGAAGATTGAGACGGAGTCGATATCTCTAGATTAGAAATGAGCTTGAAAAAGAGAACGAAAAGGTGAAAAAAAATGAAGAGCAAATTGGTTAATGCCAAAAGTAGAGAGAATGTGTGTTGGTATATTATCTTGTATGACTCTACTCTAGATTTGATATCTAATTGCGATTTGATCTTTTGAATCATCGTGCAAGTCAGTTTCCATAGGTTGATCTGTAATCTTTAGTGTATGTAATTGTATAGACAACTTCTTTTCTCAAAAATATGGTGCTTTAGCTTTTATAATTGAAGTGCAGATTTTACATTAAAAATTTGGTCCCTTGTCATTGTAGAATCTGGTGCAAATTGAACATATCTGGTGCATTTATTGAGAATACCTGGTGCATCAATATTGAGAATTTTAATGTAAATTGAGCATATGTGCTTATAATCAATGGAAAAATTTGGTGCATTGAAACATTTTATTAGCACATCTGGTGCACTTTTAATGAGCACACTCATGTCTAGTGAAGTATTGGCACATCTGGTGCACTTTTAATGAGCACACTCATGTCTAGTGAAGTTCGGAATGGATATGATGTACGTAGATCTTATCCTTACCTTGTGAAGATAGAGAGATGGTTTCTGATAGATTCTAAGCTTTAAAAAAGTTACTTCAAAGTAGATACATCCAAGGTGAAATATCTATGATACTTGATGTTGTTGTAAGGGCAGCAAACAATGATAACTAACAGGGAAGTGATGCAATTTTTGAAGATCTATTTGCTTGCAAAACAGTTTACGTAGCTCTGGTGCTTATCAAGGGTTGGGACCATTTGTCCAACTCCAAGATTCTTATTTCAATTTTTATACGATCACATCTTTCTCATATCGATCAAGGCTTTTTTTGGGTTTGAAATAAGGGGACAAGAAGTAAGAGCATAGATCCTTTAGATTCAACGTCGCAACTTATCAAAATCACATTACATGAGTTAATTCAAAAATATGAACAAAAGCAACAAAAGAAATACTAAAGTTAATTTGTAATATCTTCACATCAACCAGCTACTAGCATGAAACCAACAAAATATCTTCACTTCAACCAGTTAGCCGCAAAAACTCAAAAAATTCTCCACTTCAATCAGCTATCAAATAATCAACAAAAATATGGCCACTTCAAAATAGCTATCCTTCTGAAACATATAAAATCACCATTAACTAATATATAAACCCAAAAAAAAGAGTAGGTGTGGCCAAATAAAAAAAATACCAGATTAAATATTCATGTCGGACGACGCAACATTATCATCATGGATAAAATTTGTTCTTCTAACCTGTAGAAGGAAAAAAATCAGATTCTTTTAAGATTTCAAGCTAACTTACTTAGGTATAAAAATATTTACCGGCAACTTTTCAGGTACAAATGAAGTAGAAGGCATCCTACAAGCTGACTCAAAAACTCCTCCTTCTGGCTGTACATAGTTAAACTTGCAAGTTCTCGTATTATGGCCAGACTTGTGACATCGACTACAGTTAACTGATGTTTGCTTCTTCTTCATCTTAGTTCTACTTGATCCTACTTCATCTTGTTCTTTCCTTCTCAACTTTTGCTTTCTCCCAGACTTATTTTGTCTTGAAAAGATTGGAGGCAAAGGAGGGATCTTGCCTGATTTAGGCCACAACTGTGAACCATTTATTGGAAGAATAGCTGGTTCATAGATTCGCTTATACATTTCCACATTATAGCAGTCATCCACATAATTAATAACCTCGTCATTTTTATGCCAAATTGCCGAAATAGCATGCTTGCAAGGGATTCCTGTAATGGTCCATTTTCTACAGCTACATTTTCTGCCAGCAAGGTCCACAGCCCAAATGTCGCTCACACTTCCGCCAAGAATTTCAAAGTTCCATTCATTCGACTTTTTAGGAATAAAACCAGTAGCATCTTTTTCATTTTTGTGCAGAATACTCTTAATCCGAGGGCAAATATCATCAGAATTCCATTTATCAGCTTTATCCCTATTAGCTTGTAATCTAGCCATAAGAAGATATCTTAATTTTTCCAACAAAGTGATGATTGGCTTATCTCGAGCATCAAGTATCATACTATTAAACGATTCACACATATTATTCAACAAAATATCACACTTAGCAATGGGAGAAAAATGTGATTTAGACCATTCAATAGGTTCCTTTTCTTTCAACCATATAGCAGCTTCGGCATCCAATTTAACAATGTCATTGATGCGAGCATTAAAAAATTCCACAGTTGTAGCACTTGCAGCAGCCCAAAGCGCACATTTTAGCGAGGAACCACTAAAACCAGCCCTCTTAAAATTATTATGAAGATGTCTCACGCAAAATCTATGACTCACGGATGGCAAAACTTCATTAAACGCTTCAATGAGACCTTTTTGTTTGTCCGACATAAAGGTCCAATCAACTTGATCATTAATCTCCAAATCATCAATTAAGTAGGTCAAAAATCATGACCATGTCTCCCTAGTTTCCTTTTCTACAACTGCATAGGCCACTGGAAAAATATTATTATTGGCATCCAAGCCAACTGCAGTCAACAACTGATATCCATACATTTGACCCTTCAACCAACACCCATCCACACCCAATATTTTTCTACATCCAGCCTTAAACCCCTCCTTACAAGCAACAAAACAAACATAGATTCTTTGAAATCTATATGGTTTGTTCGGCATTTCGTTTTGAGTTAGCTTCATATACATTGAAGTTCCAGGATTTGACCTTCCAATTTCAAGGCAGTAGTCCCAAAGGATGGAAAATTGTTCTTTCACATCTCCATCAATTAATGCAAGTGCCTTCTTTTTAGCCTTTCTAGCTTGAGCTAAAGTAACATGAGCTTTAAGTCCCACACTGACCGTGTCTCTAAAGTCAGACAACTTCCACTCTCTGTTTTGACTGATAGCATCAAGATACATTCTTGCAATGAAAGAAGAGGTTATTGTCTTGTTACGATGGTTCCAACGTTTGCAGGTATGCTTGGAATCATAAGTTTTAATCTGAAATGCCTTGTCTCGATGCATTACCGATGCCATAATTACCCATTTACAATCTGAATTTCTACACTTCGCTTTTGCTCTTTTTCCATCATTTTTTATCCACCTAATACTCTTCCCAGCTTTTACCTCATGAATTGATACCGCATTTTTGAACTCCTCCCTGCTTCCAAATGTATATTCTAATGCTAATATAGGATGTTTTGCTTCAGTTTTTGGGTTATGCTTTGGAAAATGAAAGCACTCATTATCAGAATCACCATTCAAACTCTTCTGATCTTCAGAGTCCACACAATCTGAATCTCCATCTTCATTAGACAATTTCCTCAGAACTTCGTCATTAATAAGTTTCCTTCCATCCTCAAAGCTTTGCTTTTTTTGTCCATGTCTTTCAAGGATGACATCGTCACCGGATAATTCATTTTCTGAATCTTCAAACTCATCAGAATTGTATGTGTCACCACATTCTATATGCTCTTGATTTAATGTACAATTTGTGTGGCCTAGAATCTCACCTGAATCTACTTCAATGTAGGAGTCCAAATGTTCAAAATACAACTCAACTACTCTATCATTCGGGATAAATTTTTTAATTGAGAGAGCTTCTACTTCAGTAGACACTAATCTCCACCTATCACCGAACTTTCCAAATTTATGCCAAAATATTTCCGAGTCATTCATATAGCCGCACATAACAGCCATCTGCTTCAAATCTGCTAAATTAAGGTTTTTTGCTTCAACATAATCAAAATAGTCCACCATTCCTCCAACATAAATTTTCCTTGGTTGATGCTTCATTAGTCCCATATGATTAATTTTAATACTAAAAAATCCAGCCTCGAACACCGGATCTGTAAAAAAAAATTATGAGGACCACCTACATATAATATTTTTGGGACCACTAGTGAATATTTTTTACGAGATTAAAGGCTTAGGTTCTGAGACCCTTATCTAAAACTTTATGCATTTGTTGAAAAACTCAAAACTAACAAAAGACAATACTTTTACCTAGACAGAGACATAAGAAGTCATAAGAGAAACAACAAGCAGAGTAGTAAAATACACGCAAAACATAAAATCTAAAAACAAAAATCTTACCATAATATAGAGTTGATTCTTTGTCACCATTTCTTTTGATGAACATTCTTGGTAATAAAGAAGAATGTAAGTATTTTTACTGCATATAGAATTCTATAGTGAAACTTCAAAGAGATGAAGATGGAGAAAATTAGGGCACCTTTGGCGCTATGGCTTATGAGGAGATGAGAAAGTTTTCGCGGTTTATTTTGAAGTGGGACCCGATGTTAAAGTTAACATGAGTTTTTTGATGTATCTGTTAGTTTTAGGTCAAAGGATCAAATTGATCATCTTTTATAATACATCAAGGACCATATAGATCATGTGAAATATATTAAGGGTCAACATAAAACAACCATTATACATCAAGGACCATTTTGATCATTTTCTCATGACATTATCATCACAGGAGGTGATTCTGAGGGGATCTCTTCCCTTAAGTCTTTCTTACATACTAAGTTTCATAGAAGGACTTGGGGCAGTTGAAATATTTTTTGGGAGTAGAAGTAAATAGAAGCAAGAAGGGAATTCTTCTATCTCAGAGAAAGTATGTTCTTGACCTACTTGCAAAAACTGGAAAATTGGTAGCCAAACCTTGCAGTACTCCAATGGTTCCCAATGTGCATCTCATGAAAGATGGCAACCCTTCTGATAATCCAGAGAGGTATAGAAGGATAGTTGGGAAGTTAAACTACCTCACAGTGACTCGTCCTGATATTGCCTTCGCAGTAAGTGTTGTAAGTCAATTCATGTCTGCACCTACGGTCGAACATTGGGCAGCTTTAGAACAGATTCTATGTTACTTGAAAAGAGCTCCTGGACTTGGCATATTGTATAGCAATCACAACCATACTCATATTGAGTGTTTTGCAGATGCTGATTGGGCTGGTTCCAAGATTAATAAGAGATCCACTACAGGTTATTGTATCTTTGTTGGAGGAAACTTGGTAGCATGGAGGTGTAAGAAGCAAAATGTTGTATCTCGATCCAGTGCAGAATCTGAGTACAGAGTTATGTCACAGTCTACATGTGAAATTATGTGGATACATCATCTTTTAACTGAAATAGGGTTGAAGCATCATATGCCGGCAAAACGCTAGTGTGATATCAAGTTGTTCTTCATATTGCCTCAAACCCAGTGTATTATGAAAGAACTAAACATATTGAAGTTGACTGTCACTTCATTCGTGAGAAGATTCGAGAAAACTTGATCTCCACTAACTACGTGAAGACAGGAGAGCAACTAGCCGATTTGCTTACAAAGGAGGTAAATGGAACTCCAGTCAATTACCTTTGCAACAAGTTGGGCATGGTTAATATCTATGCTCCAACTTGAGGGGGAGTGTTACAAAATGTATATAGACATCATTTTAGTAGTATACATAGGCATATTTTTAGCTAGTAGATCTGTAGTAATCTCTCATAATTAGCTAGCAGATTTGTAGGAATCCCTCTTTATTTTATTTCCTAAATTAGCACCTAGTATATTGTATTTATATCTTGCTTATCTATTGGAATAAGATATCTACTTCTATTCGATTACAAAAATCATAAAAAACACCATACAGTATCTTAAAGAAATGTGTAGAGCTTAAGCAATCGAAACCCCCCCCCCCCCCCCTCTCCACTTAAAAATATACAGAGATTATTATTTAAATTTTGGTTGGGATTACATTACACTCATGTTTGATTCATTCAAGTCAAAATAAGCTATGAGAGGTGAATTTTCAGGCGGCATACATTTCATCAGCTAATTACCAAACAAAAAGGGAAATGCAATTACACAATATACACTTCAAGATGCTTATAAATGAATTTTTAGAATACATGTCGTCCTTCCAGAACTCCTAAACAGCAAATCAGTTTCGCATTTTGTTAACCAAAGAAAAAATAGAGGCTTGAGGTATTGTTTAACACACATCGTCCCAAAAAAATGGCAGAAAGGTTCAACCAGAATCTGAAATACACACCCCATATATAGGGGTTTAATGGCCATCTAACAAGCAAGTATAGATCAGGACTACATGCCTCCAAATTCTAATTCTAGTTTCGTTAATAATTAGAAAAAGCTATATAAGGTATCGTGTACCTGCACATTACTCTCTTGCACTAGAATATCCTTCGCTTTCTCGCACAGTCCTTTTACCTACACAACAAGCACCTTTATCAGCCAATTTATTTATCACTAATATACAAGAGGGGGAATAAAAAATGTGCACCATAATAAAAGAGCCACATGAAGCAAGTCATTAAATAAAAGCCTAACATAAGCGAAGATGAATAAGCTCAAAATAAAACTACTTCAGTAGAAGAACCAAAGTATTGATAAGTACTTTCTTTGTTATAAGCTTATGCCCAGCTCTTTCCCTGTATACAAGCTTCAGTAATAATATATGCCACAATCTTGCATTCTCAAAACGGTAGCTTCCACTAGTTACCTTCTTGCCTGCTGAAGTTCATGTGAATGATCGTGAAAGCTCTTCAAATCCTATTTCACTGGAAAAAAAGTGATCCCATTCTGTTTTTGCTTTCTTTTTTCAGAAGAGGATGGAGAAACCTATCTAACACTCTGCAACAACCCACTACCATTCCTTTCATGGATTCCATTTCAACCAACTATTATTGAATATGCTAATTTCTCTTCATTCATGAGCTAATTCCGTAATAAGAGAAATGACAACACCATAAAAAGACTAGATTATCCACTACAACTTAGTAAAAGATTGATTATACAATCGCAAGTAAATACACTCCTAACAGTTCGAGAGCACTAGGAAGTCAACTAGTGGCCAAGGAGCAAAAATGGGTCGAAAGTGAATATGATATCACATTCAATTTGATTGAAGTCACAGATTCAATCAACAATTCTATACGACAGCACATTTCCATCTCTTATGACCCCCACCATAATCAGAATTCCGCGAGTAGCCAAAACACGACTAGATCGTGAAGGAAGACAGGAATCCATTGATATGTCATATACAAATTCAAGTTCTTTTTATTTTAAGTAAAACATGATCGTCTGCATTACTACAATTAATAGGAAAATGATAATAAAGAACACTAAAATGAATTTTCCATGTTTTCCCTACATCCAAACAAAAACAGAAACTGAATATTTCAAAATTTTGAAATCGAGTAACACAAATATATTACCTTTCTTAAGGACAATTAAAAGTAAAATGACAATTAGTGTACTGCATGTTTGCCTCACTACAATTCTTAGAAAATAATACTAAAGAACAATAAAATGAACTTTTTCATGGTTTTCCTACCTCCACAACACATATGTTTCCCTTCTGAGGACAATTAAAAGTAAAAATGACAATTAATCGTAATGCATGTCTGCCTCACTACAATTCATAGGAAAATAATACCAAAGAACACTAAATCGAACTTTTTCATGTTCTCCCTACATCCAAAACTGACAAGAAACTGTAAATATTTCGAAGTCTAGAAATCAAATAACACATATATATGTTAGTTTCCCTTCTTCTAACCATCTAAATAATGAAGAACGCATGGATCTGATCTGCATAAACTTGGAATACTACCAAGTTGAAAAAGAAAACCCATAAAGTTTCAACAAAACAACTCCTCAATCTGGAATTGAATCAAGAAAAGGGCACAAAATTTAGGGAAAATACGCATCCAATTACAAAAAGAAAAAAAATGGTGTTGTTTCACTTGATTTACGCTAAAACCAAAGTAAAGTAACCTTATTATGAAAATATTACTACAACTTGGAGAGAACATTTAACATGATCTCTCATTGACTTCCTTTAAAATCAATTTGGTAATTTTATTTATCCAGAGGTGGAAACCAACTTTGCAAGCATAGGGTAACTATATTGGTATATTTCTCGTATAGAGTATTTTCCCCCACAATATCAATAAACTATTACACCCTCCCCCACCCAAAAAAAAAATAACCTGATTTCCTAAAAGTTGCTTTTAAGCAGTAAAGATATAAAAAAAAAATATGTCTGTGATAAACTAAATCATAGATAAAACCCGTAGCTGTTAAACACAGGCAATCTCATGTGTTTACTAGAGATCTTGAAAAGAGCAATCAGAAAAACATAGACAACTCCGCCGATAGATACTAATTTACCAGCACCCTACAAGAACATGATAAGAGCAAGTGAGCTTAAGGACAATAGAGCATACCTTCATCTTTTCACGAGTTTCATTAACAGTTTCACCATCCTTCTTCTTCCTCCAATGGTGACCATCTTTACGGAAATCTTGTAGTACTTTCCAATCAAATAGAAACATGGAACCACCTGAAACCGAAAAGCTATATTAGTTAAAACTTTAAAAAAAAAGAAAAAAAGAAAGGAAAATCGATTGGGCAGATAACGATGAACCTGGAGTTGGAGTGGGGGATGTTGATGTAAGATGTGCTACAGCTGCCACGAATTTAGAGAAAACATTGATTGACTGGGAGAGCAAAAACCACCTGGAATATTTAGTTGGCGTTCACAAAGCTTCCAGAACTTTTGAAGAATGGATTCATCTGGAGAGTACCCTAAAGCTTCTATCTCTGTGGATGCAAAGGTTGCTTTCCTGAACAGCCACCACTATTCTGAAATAACACAACCTAGACCAAGAAAAACAACAAACTCAATCAATCAAAAGAGAACATAGAAGGCACTAACAGGAGATAAGTGAACATAGAAGTTTGGAATAATGGTTACCATACATGCAAGTTGACTTGCACAAAGACCTTCCGGAGATTTCGTAGTCAGGAAGAACTCAAGTAGTTCAAACAAGGCACTGTGCTTGGAGATGAAGGAAGATATAGATTGTTCCAGGACTGATCCAGAGTTTATGATAGAGTGTAGGCAATAGCAAATATGCAGATGCATGTACAGAAGCAGAAACCCAATAACCTGAACAGTAAGCCAAAGCAGTTGAGTATAGGCAAGACTACGAAAAAGAATTATTCAAATTACAGTATACCCACCTTGTCATCAATACATCTGAAGTTTTTGAAAGTCTCTGCAGGATAAGATGCAAGCTTTCAATGAAAATTTGCCTAGACAATTGAAGTTCATACAACCTTTTCAAGTTAAAAAAGCAGTGAATATTTATCATCACCATCCTGCAACAACAAAAATTGCACATTTGACCAAAACCCATCAATAAAACACAGTCCCCTTCAATTTGTTAATGGCACATACTGCAACTTCTTTTAATGCAGATTTAAGTTTGATAACAAGCTCATCTTCAATCCTCTTAAATTTGTTGAAGGCAAAGTCCTGTAACTCCCCACAACTCAAGTAGCACAGAAGTTCAGAGCTTTTACTCGAGATCTCAGAGCTTCCTTTACACCATGCTTAAGGAAAGCCTTTTTCTTCAGAAGGACAGCAGATGTAAAATTCTGGAAAAGCAAAAGAAAACAGCTTTTAGTTAACAGTTCAAAAACAAATTACTTCATATTGGCAATCCCCTATATAGTTCATGATCGTAATAAGTTCCACAAACGCACCTGATCTTGTCTTTTAAGAGAATCGCGCTCAAGGTTCATATGAACAATGATTTCAAGTAGATGGTGAATTTTTGCTTTGTCAGACATAAATTTGTGAGGAAGTTGTGGATAATTCCTCATCATAGAAATGGTTATATCACGCTTAGAGATTTCAAACACGTCCTGGATATTACAACATAAGCATTCAAAAAATTCAGTATCCTGGAGTAGTATGGCTGAAATCTGAAAAAACACCAATATAATTTGTCATTGACAAAGAACACTAAAGAAGGAACCTATCTAAAATAATCTAAACAAATATTGAACTTGAGGGGATACTCTATGAATTCAAAAAATCAAAACCACGGCATCTAGATACTCATTCTGCGTACAGCTTTGAATGATGTCCCTACTGAGCAAACACAGTTACCGTCTATGTTCCATGGTACATGAAAATAATCTGACTGCTCACTCTATTATCAAACTCCAAGTACAATAAAACGTCTTAATGTTGTTAGAAAAATGTTAAAGATGGTAACATGATATTATACGAAAATGGCACCTCTTCCACTAAATAATACTAGTAAGTAATCTGGATGTATTTGACCAACTGGCCTGATTTAAGAC